TAGTCTTTTTGAAAGCAATTATTATAGCTCTCAAAAAGTCCTTTTGAAAAAGGGGGAGAAAGAATTGTTTTAATCTATTTCCTCTTTGTGCCTTTGAATCATATCTCGGTACTCAAAGATAAAGATCTCTGGTATTTTAGGATGAAGATATAGAAGACAAAAATATTTTAGAAGTGGCTTCTGGAAAACAACTAAACAGATTTTGATTATGTAATCATCTTTATTTGAGGTGCTGAAAAAGGCATAGAGAATGTTTAAAATATTTCTGACTTATTTATATTTCAAAAGGGACACTGACAAAACAGTCTAGTATTTTTTGTCAATTGCAACCATCTGCAGATGCGTGGATAGGTTACGTGTTGATGGAGGCAGTACTTATACCAATTTAAAAATACAAATTACTTCATTCCTATCTTCTCAATGACTGAGCAGGCTCTTATAAGCCTTGAAGAATAGAATAAAATTGCTCAAGATTCTATCTCAGAAATTTGATTTTTCCTATTTAAAAAAATAGCTTAACCCTTTGAATTATAGCTCTAAAGACATAAATTTGCTTGTTTAATGTTCAGCTTGGGTACAACCCCTCACTTCCAAACCGGATAACAAAGTCATAGTGTATATGGAAGCCAAATGAGGGTTGTTAATCATAAACTCTCACCCTTAATATATTATCGTTCTCATGATTAACAGGCTATGGGGGGAAATGCTGACATGCCTCTCAGATGTGTGACCCTGCAAATTTCCTCTTCCCCAGAGCTGCCAGTAAAACAGAATTATGAGTGTGTTTTAAATTAATAAAATGAAGGAGCCCAACTGGCTGTTGTGCTGGGTGATAAATTGAAAAGTACGGTAAATACCATCACTGTGCTATTTTGGAGCCCTTGACTCTCTGTATCAGGGGAATGAATATGTACATTTAAAAGGAATTTTAAAAGCAATTATTAGAAATGCTTCCCTAGGGGTTTAATATATTAAAGGGCTTCCATTCCATGGAGACAGTATAATGTCTTCCAGCTAAACACTCAATCTCTTGAGGCACATTAAAGTGGTGGAGAAAAAAAAAAGTAATGTCCCTAGAGAAATCATTGGGAGAGATGAGAAGAATTTGAAAGCCATTAACCTTTAGATATATTTGAAGGTTTCAAAAAAATTGTAGCTCAACTTCTGGAAACAGTAAAAATGTCCATAACATTTCCAAAGCCTCCTAACTTTCAATGTATAATTTAATTTTATAATAACCTCATCTCTTTTCCCTGTCTTTCTCCCTTTTGCCATAATACTTAGCTACTTACTTAAGGGGGCTGGTAAAATTACACATTTACTTTGAGACTTTTTTAAAGGACTAGCTTCTTGGGGTGAGAAGAAGTGGGGAAAAGATTAGAAAACTGAAGAACTAAAGTTCATTGTTACAATGAACTAATAATGACTTCTCCCCCAATGTCCCTGGACTTGGGGCCTCCTAGAAGAGCATCAGAGCATGTGACATGGGCATTTATCTAGGAGACAAGCTCAAAACCATGCTTCAAAACAGACTATGTTAGGAGAAAAATAAGTGACAAAATTACTCAGTATATTGTGTAGACAACTAAGTAACTTTAAACATCTTGCTGTTATTTCTCTTTACAATTTCCAGAGGATACACAAGTAGTATAGAATTAGGTTTGTGTATACTCCAAATGTCATCTATCTGGTCAGCTAGTTTTATATTGAAGTAGAATTCAAAGTAATTTTAAAAATGCTAAATAAACTATTCCTTACCTTTGTCAAGATATTTTACTGATTGCCTGAATTATAAATAGCCTCTAAATGAAGTTAGTCATTATTGTTTGAATTCTTCTTTCTTCCCCCCCACCACTTTTGTGACTACAAGTATCAACTTTCTAAAATGCTTCAAGATATACCTACTTACAGGTTGAGAATGTGCCTTAAGGCTTCATTTGGCACTTTCAGCGCTAACTGGCCAATCTTAAAGAGTTAGATATTATTAGATTATAGGATCCTAGATCTCGAGATGGAAGGGACCAGTGGTTATCCAATCCAGGGCACTCATTTTTCAGTAGAAGAAAGTGAGACCCATGCAAAAGGACTTGCCGAAGCCCATCTAGCTAGTAAGAATTAGTCAGGATTAAACCCGGTCTTCTAACTCCAAAGTCAGTTCTCTTGATAACTTTTATATGGGCATAAAAATGACCTTCAGGACGCCTCAGGTCTTGTTAATAGACTTACAGACAAGAGTACTTGACAATTTATTGATATGACAATTTCTGTGCCACTCTTTTCATCAGTTTTAAACTTCCTGACTCCTCCTATATACACTAAATAAATATTTAAAGCTAGTCTGAGGCAAGATAAATTGATAAATCTAATTAGATTGTCGATACTTAACCAGCATCACAAAGGGTGGAAAAATGTACATTGTATTTGTGAAATGTAGTAGGTTTATCTATTGAAAAATGCTGAATTTGTCCATACTGCCATGAATTATACTGGTTATAATGAAGTCTACTTTCCACTGTCTATTATTGCCAGTCTCTGAACTAGTCAAATGCATTTCAGACTGTCTGCTTTTAAATGGCATTTTCTTCTTTTCTTACATGTATTCCCCAATGGGCTTGGTACTTTTGGTCTGCTGTGCCCCTTTTTCTAGTTCAAACTTTTTCCCAAGTAGATTTCTAATTCAAACTTTCCCAAGTAGATTTCTAGTTGAAACTTAACCCAACTACGAGGATAGCTTCTTTCCTTCCTGTGGGTGTGGTAGTGGTTGTATTTGAATTCAGTCACCATTATTTTCCCCCTCCAAACAAATGAGGTCCTTTCCTCATGCCTGCTTGTTGGGCATGGTCCAGCAACCAGTTGCTTTTTGCCCAATCCCCATTCAGACTAGTCTTGTTGCTGTGTTCACTGTGCTGGTGCTTGTCTTATCTGACACAAGACACCAGAGAACAAAAATGAACGGTCATGAATACAGATTCATTATACAATTGCTCATTGTTTCATCTGGTGTACTTTAAAACTCAGCAACTCAGAATATGAACCTCTTCTTATTCTAAGTGACCGTGTAAGGGCTGTAGGTCAGCCTACATGTGCCCTGGGTAATTATGGTCTGATTAAAGAAAGTCACACCCAAGGTTGTCACTCATGAGTGCTCAAAGCACTTATAATCTTTGATATTAGGCAGAGGAAGTACCAGAATTTCTCTTGTAACTCAGATCTAGAGTAATAATGTTTTTTCTTATATGATTTATAAAGAGTAGTATAGTACTTCTTTTAAAAATTGCCTTTTAAATTGGTTTCACCATTTCTACGTGACGAGTTTCAATACTTTTGCTATCATTGTATTCAGTTATGTACTAGTGTCAATAAAATTGACATTTGTGAAGCAAGCTCTGGCCTTTCTCTGGGATTTTACTGGGCATGGTAATGTGTGGTGAAACTGGGTGCTAACTAAATAACGCCATATTGTCTCTTGTGTGTTCTCTCTGGCTGTAAAAGTGGTTAACTTTTTGATTTACCTTTTAAAATACTCATTTTCTGTTCTTTCTCTACAAAGATCACTACCAATAGAACACATACTCTCATCTGTTTTTTCCAGAAGTGGTGGCTTTTCATACACTTGCTGATGGTGAACAGGATGCCTTTGTGAGAGAGCTGTCTGGGGTTAATTAGGGGGTGCCGACTGAGGCTGGGGAAAAGTTTGTTGCTGGTTTATTCTTGGTGAAGTGATATGACCGATATGAAGATTACACCCATGACCTTTTAGCTTGTTAGCACAATGCTGAAATCACCTAAGCTAACCCTCCCTGGTTTTTACTGTAGTTTTTTCAATAATCATGAAGTAAATATTAACCAATCTAAAAGCAAGAGATGAAAGGTCAAAGATCAATCAACTTGAAGCGCTCCCTGAAACAAATTATATTTCACAAATTATATTTCTTACCTCTGTTGTGGTTGTGCCTTATTGGAATGAGCCTTGCTTTTATGTTGTGCAGCCAACAGGCCAGACATTACAATCTACAAAGTAGAAGTAGTCTTCATATTTTCTTTACTTTTAATTATTGTCACTTCCATGGGCTAAATATTTTTACTTTGATGACCAAACATTAGTCATTGAAATCAGCAGCTTCCTTGTTGGAAATTTCAAAGTATAAAGTAGAATTCAGATTAAATTAAGATTTAAAAAAAAACTATGGTATGGTAGATATTAAAGGAAAGGAAATGGAATATGTGGACAAGTCTTTTCATTTAAACATTCAGAAAACTGGATGACTTTTAAGAGACTGTGAACACATTTTTAGAATTTTTAATATTATATATCTCCCTGTACAGAGAATTGACTGTCACTTTTTGCTACATAAAGTGGATTTGTGGTAATTTCTCATGATCTCCAGCTTTGCACATACAAAATGATGAGCTTTGCATGTAAATGTGATGCTAGTGTTTCTATCTCAAACAGTGAGAGAAGCATGGAGTGACACTACCAGGTACTCTAAGCTTGCTTCTATTCTTTGTAGAAATGAGGCATTAGTTGCTTTCCTTTTGTGTTATCTATGATGTGATAGTGCATTTCTTCCAAAACGCATTAATAATTTAGATTCCTATTAGTATAGTTTATTTCCTAATGATTTATCCACATCTCTTTGTGAAATGTACTATTTTTGTGGACTAATTTTTAGGAGCAGTTATAGTACCCGAGAGAACAGAATGCTATTTTGTATGTAGCATACTCTTAAACTTTTACAGTTACAATCTGGGTATATCAGAGAGATTCATACATTATCTTAAATTAGCTAGTGGAAGTTTAGTTATGTGGCAGTTATCCTCGTTTTGGTATCTTTAGCTGTAAAGGCAACTGGAATTCAGAGAAGCAATTTATTAAGGAGCTATCAGTATTTAGTTTCCCAAATACTAGTCAAAGTCTTAAAGCTATGAAATAGTGAACCAGGTCCTTGTAGGAATTACTTTGTTATTGTTGTTGTTTAAAATTTCCCATCCCCAAACAGGCTCCCTGACTGGTAGTCCTCATCTCTCAGAACTGTCAATCAACTCTCAGGGAGGACCGACTGCAGCAAACATGACCTTGTCTCCAAACTTGAGCCCTGACACCAAGCAGTCATCTCCACTAGTCAGCCCACTGCTGAATGACCAGACCTGCACGAGGACAGATGATGAAGAAGAGGTCAGGAGAAAGGTATCTAGCTCAACTTGTTTGGATTTTTGCAAAGTTTCTTCCTGAGCTAGGTGGTACAATGTTTGGGTCTGGAGTCAGAAAGCCTTGAGTTCAAACTTGATCTCAGACACTTAGTCGCTGTGTGACTCTGGCGAAGTTACTTAGGCTGTGCATAATATAAATGCTTCTTTCCTTCCAAAAGAAGCGTGTGTGTGTGTGTGTGTGTGTGTGTGTGTGTGTGTGTGTGTTTGTGTTTGTTGGGAAGGGGGGCAGGGAGAATGAAGTTGGTAATATGGAGCTTATTATTAAAAAAAGACAGCGACTTCTGGTCCACTCTGAGATTCATTAGAATAGCATATAAGAATAACCAGCTTGCCAACTTTCCTGTTTAACTCATACTTAACAGCTATTTTTTTTTTTTATTTTTGTGAGGCCCTTAGACACCAATTACCACATTCCAGCTCTTATAACCCTGCTGGTAGCCAGCCGAAGACAGAACAGTCTGTGTAGCTTTTGTTCTTTTCCCTGAAGGAAACATGACTCTGTTATTTTTGCTTACTAATTAATTGGATTTCTTGTGCACTTTTCCTGAAAAAAAGCTTAATTATATGAATAAAGAGCAATCAGTGTTAGCTAAGTTTAAGATCCTAATCTTTCAGATATTAAGTAACATAAAGAGATATATAAACCAACCACAAATGAGGAAGATCTTTCATTTTCACCCTTAAAGGGCTCAGTTTATTCCTATGAAACATTTTCTTCACAGAAACTGAACTGGTAATGTTAAATCTAAGCAATAAAACTAGAAAGGTAGTACTGCCTTTTTGAACACACAGACATAACCAAACAAAATGGAACAAAAGGATACGAGGAAAAGGTTAGACAATATCATATCCCCATCTTATGTTTTTCTTTGGGAATTAACCTTTTCCTTCCACTTTAGGTAATGTTTTTTCAATAGTGATCTAAGATGAAAAGGACATGTTAAAAAATGCAGACCAATCACATGAAGGATTTTATTTGTTCTTCTCAGTTGCTGCTCCAGGATGTCTCCATTCTTTTCAGGGAGGCAAGATAGTGCTCTTGTTAGACAAAATATATAGTATTAATGAACCCTTTTTAATATAGAAGAATTTTTTTAACAACCCTCCAAACCACAGAATAAATGATAACTTAGCTTTTTACAAAAAAATTCACACACAAATTCAGATTGTATATTTTTTGTTAGATCTATAAAATTCCATGGTATCTATTTTGTGATCAGGAGGTGTTTTAAAAATAAAAAAAAATAGCTCTCTTTAAGATTTGTGAAGTACTTTCCTTTCCACGCCCCTATAATAATTAGTAGGAAGTGCAGATGTTATTACTCCTTTTTTACAAACAACAGAACTGAAACTGAAAGATTAAATACCTAGCCACAATCCTAAGCATCATTGCTAGGATTCAAATCTAGATCTCTCTTCTCCAAGTTCACAATTCTCTCCATTATTTGGCACAACACTAACTCTTTTTGATGACGATTAATAATAAGGAGAAATGAGTTACTAAACCTATGATTTCATTTACTAAGCCTGTATTCCAAAAAGATCAAAGAAAGAGGAAAAAGGATGCCTATGTGCAAAACAAAACAAAAACAATAACAACAAAAAACCACAATCTTGTTAGCAGTTCTTTCTGTGGGGGAGAAAGAACTGGACATGAAGGAGATGCCCATCAATTAGAGAATGTTTGAACAAATTATAGCATGTGAATATAGTGGAATATTATTGTGCTATAAGAAATGATGAAAGGTTTCATTTCAGAGAAATCTGGGTACGCTTGTACAAAGTGAAGCAAGCAGGATGTAGAGAACAATAGCAATAATATTGTAAAGACACGCAGTGTTGAAAGACTTTAAAACTCTGATCATTGCAGTCTCCAACCATAATTGCAGAGGACTCACAATGAAACATGCTACCTACCTCCTAACAGAGAGGTGTTAGACTCTGGGCACAGATTGAGACATATCCTTTTTTTAAATTTTGTTCTTAATTATGAGTATTTGTTACAAAGATTTTGTCTTTTATTCTTATGAGGCAAAGGGAAGAGTGAAAGAGAATAGATTTTTCAACTAAAAAAAGAAATAAATTTGTAAAAAAAAAAATAGGAAAAACAGTACTAGTTTCTCTTTCTGTTCTGCCAGCCCATTCCATAGGCATCAGAAAGGCTCATATGAGCTTAATATTGATACCAGCTACCCCAAATAAACAAGTAACAGACACTTAGGTTTATCAATAGAACCATTTTTCACTCTGAGATTTATCTCTTAAGATATAGCTTCTTTTACCTATGTGTTTTGCATTTTACAGAGATTTCCAACTGACAAAGCATATTTCATTGCTAAAGAAGTATCCACCACTGAAAGGACCTATCTGAAGGATCTTGAAGTCATCACTTCAGTATGTTTACTTTTAACATTTTGTCCTCAGCCTCCATTTTTTCCTCAGTGATACTTTACTTGTGTCTATACTCTATTATTAATAAAGAAGTTGGGTCTTCTTAAATTCTGTGCATGTAATGAAATTCTGTGCATGTAATTCTCTGCATACAGAGAAAAGGACTTTGGTCCTTGGAGACTGATTAGACGTCTGTAGTGTGTTTAGTTTGGAATGTACCCTGCAAAATAATTTTAGTAATTGTGGCTTTAAAAAATGCAAAAGAAGCAATTAAATTCTATAGTGTTGGAAATATGAATTAAACATTTTACTTCTGATGCACACTGATCCAGAACACTTTGTGTTTTGCTGGTTGTCAAAATGTAGTCACTTCTTTTCACTCTAGGGAGATCTGGAAGTGAGTGGAAACCTCATTGTAACTTTAATAACAAAATCAATCCTGACAGCAGGATCTAGCACTCCACCACCACCTCACCCCAAAAAAGTACCTATTATTATTCTAGTTGGTCTTGGGAACCGATTCCAGCCTTCCTTGATTAAATTTCTTTTCCTTAAATATTGAAGATATCTCTTCTAGTCTCAGGATTTTAGAAAAGAACAAGGCACTTCACAGATTATTTAAGATCTATTGAGTTTTTATTCATTATCATGGAATACTAGCCCAAACTCCTTAACCTAAGTGACCTTATACTTACAAAGTAGCATTATGTTGCTTGTTATTTCTGTTTTCTTCTTCTTTTCTTTTTCATTATGCTGCTTGTTTAGCCATATTAGAATTCTGTTATTCTTAACAAAGGTGTAGGATCTGGTCCCCATATAGATCTACACAAAGTGTGATGTAGTTGTTAATTTTTTTATTGAGTATCAGGGCTAAAGGAATTATAATCAAGTAAAATTCTAACATGGAGTATTATAGAGATGGCTACTGAATATCTGGAAAAGGAAGTGGTCATCACAAAGATTTAGCATGGCTTTGATGAAAACAAGTAAAACCATATTGTACTTAATTTTTTTTCCCCTAAACTGATAGATCAGGAAAATAATGTAGGTATAATTTATCTAGATTTTATTAGCAAAGCATCTGATTAAGCAGAGTGTGCTATTCTTGTAGAAAGATGTGCCTCTACAGAAAGCATTCTTAACCTTTTTTGTTTCATGGACACCTTTGGCAGTCTGGTGGACCCTATGGACCTCTTCTCAAAATAAAGTTTTTAAGTGCATAAAATAAAATACAAGGATTACAAAGAAGACTTCTTATATTGAAATACAGTTATAAAAAAATACAGTTATCAAGGCCACAGGTTAGAAACCCTTGCTCTAAGTCTATATAATATAGCTAGAGGGACTTAGAATTGGTTGAATGCCTGTACTCAAAAGAGTAGTCATTAATGGTTGTGTCAGCTTGGAAAGAGGTCTAAAAGTCTTAGAAGAGGTCTTGGAAGTCATCCAGACTAATGCTTTCATTTATTTTGGGTGGGCCTTTTTAAAAATATTTTTTTTTAAATTCTGGCCAATGACAAGTCAGATAAAATACCATCCAAAGATCCTTTATCACCTGAGTTGGTCTAATGTTTGAGCTATTCCAAGGTCCTTGGTTGGTCTTGTACTTAGGATAACGTTTTTATTGATGACTGGATAACATTTTTATCAATGACTTGGATAAAGGTGTAGATGGAATGACTGTTAGCTTTGCATATGACAACTTAGATTTGGTGGAAAGAAATATTTTGTAATAATTGACACTGTCCCAAAGTGGAATGGGCTTCCTCAAGAGGTAATGTACTTGGAGGATATGTCCTTGGAGGGATTCTTTTTCCTAAATGGATTGGGCTAGATGGCTGCTAAGTTCCCTCCCAATTCTGAGACACTTGGATTTATTTATCACTTTAAGGTTAACAAAATGCTTTCCTTAAAAAACAAACAAACAAACAAACAAACAAAAAAACCAACCCTGTGAGAAGTGAGGGAGAGTATACACTTGGTAGGTACATGCAACTAAGTATCTGTATCACAAATTGTGATTTGAAGCAGATGCAGCCTGGTACAGATTGGGGTTGAAGAGTTTCCTATTGAGATAATTGCCCAAGTTACAACAATCAAATTATCCCAAATCTAGAAAAGAGCTAACAAGAGAGAAATAGTACTTTTTACCCCCTTGTGTGAAGAAGCTATACTTATCCATAAATACTGTGCCCATCCATATGGGAAATATACCTTGTAATAATCTCTTGAGTTATTAAAAATCCCATAGTGAACTGTTTTTAGCCTGTAATTTCATTTGACTCTAGGTTTAATTCTATGTAAGTTAAAAATTCATTCTTTAACCTTTATACTTGCAATTTTGTTCTTTTTCCTTCCTTCCAGTGGTTTCAGAGCATAGTGAGCAAGGATGAATCGATGCCTGAAACACTAAAAAGTCTCATCTTCTCTAACTTCGAACCTTTGCACAAATTTCATACAAGTTTTCTCAAGGAAATTGAGCACAGACTTGCCCTTTGGTAAGGATAACCTTTTCTGTTTATCTCTCTTTCACTGAAATGAGAAATTATTCATCATGTCCCTAATTAGTTGACTGGAAGTACTTATTCATAAGAGGGTAAAATGAAAGACTCTGACTTGGTACCAGATTGAGTTATCATAAAGCCCATATATTTTTCAGTTGAATATTAAACTAATTGTGTTTAATGTTTTTAGTTTTGGGTGCATATGTATTTTTTTATAATGGGAAACCAGTTTGTGGATATGTAGCTGTCTTGCTGAATATGACTTAGATGGTTGCAGTTTTGTTGGGAGCATTCAAACCATCACAGTTAGGAATAAGTCAGATATAGGCATTTTGCTCTCCCTCAGACCAGAGCAGTGTATTGTCCTTGACCATACTGATGTAACACAACTTCTTTATAGCCTGTTTAATCTGATGCTTGTTGGCAACACAGCCACAATCAGTACCAGGTAGTTATTGTCCTCAACCTTTTTCGTTATTGACTCAGTAGTTGGGGAGAACTCAAAGGCATGGTGCTCCAACATGTTCCTCCTAGGTGATTTTCTCCAAGAGTGCCTGAGTTGCCTGAGGAAACTCAGTGTCTTCTAAAGATTGGGAAGATTTGGATTTTCTTTTCACTGTAGCACTGAGATGCCTTTTGATGCCATTTTCTGGGTCTTTAGGGCCTTTCACCCCATCTGGGGAAAAGAGTGATTCATAATTTCTAAAAACATTCTTATGTTAAATAGTACAAATAATGATAATCTCAGAAAAGCAAAAGAAACTATGAAAAACAGGAAGGATCTTATGTTTTGTGTGGTATTTGATCTGACTTGTCATTGGCTAGAATTTTTAAAGAAAATAATTTTTTTTTAAAAATCCCCTCCCAAAATAAATGAAAGCATTGGAGTAGATGTCTCCTAAGGTCCCTTCTGATTCTAATTTAGGAACATTGATCCATATATGGTAACCTTGATATAAAAGACAATTTCATATCTGAATCTGTCTTGGACAGTATCCAGTGATGGGGGGAAAAGGGAGACAGTCTTCCTCACAGATGAAAAAGATTGTCTCAAAAGCTTGTATCTTGCCCCATGGCATGGAACACAAGATTTCATAAACAAAGTTCTTAACAACCACCAAGTTGTGACCTTAGCATAGGATGCTAGCTGTAGTCTTTATATAGGATTGCAAAACAATACAAGCTCTTTATGTAAGCTTCTGCTACTACTCAGCATCTAGTGTGGCCTTCAAGAGTAAGGCAGAGATACCCCAAAGACAAGAGGTCATTCAACTGTGTAAAAAGAATCCTAAGCAAAAATCTAGCTTTCACCTGATAATAGAAAACTCACATCCATATGTTTTACATAAAAAGAGAAAAAATAAGATATCAGAAATCTGGCTTTTGATTATTGTTGCGAATAAAGGAAAAATAAGTATATATATATGTGTGTGTGTGTGTGTGTGTGTGTGTGTGTATGTGTGTGTATATATGTATATATATACACACACATACATACATACATACATATACATTAAACTCTGATTTCATCTGAAAGGTAGATGGTTTTATTCAATGTCTTCATTGTGCCCCTGGGTGAAGCAGTGTGTCTCAGTTTCCTTATCTATAAAATGGGGATAACAGTAACGCCTATTTCATAGAGTTGTTTTGAGGATCAGATGAGTTACAGTACGTAAAGCTTTACAGATCTTAAAGCACTACATAAATATGAGCTATTCTAGGTATGATTGTGATTTATTTATGTTTGAATTTGCTCTTTTATTCTGCCTGAAAACTGTAATACAATTAATAATGCTAGCTCACATTTATATAGTATTTTAAGGTTTAAAAGGTGTTTTATATAAGTCTGTCTTGTGAAGTAGGTGCTATTACTCCCATTTATGTTTTAGAGGCACTTAGATGTCAGTGGGTTAAGTCCTAATTCTGGAGTCAGGAAAACCTGAGTTCAAATTTAGCCTCAGATACTTCCTAACTAGCTATGTAACTAACCCTAGGCAAATTGCCTTAACTCTGTTTGCCTTAGTTTCCTCAATTGTTAAATCAGGATAATAACAGCACCTACTTTGTAGAATTGTTGTGAAGATCAACTGAGATAATAATTGTCAAGCACTCGGTACGTTGCCTGGCACACAGTAGGTGTCATATAAATGCTCATTCGCTCCCTACTACCCCTAATCCCCTTATAGATGAGGAAATTAATTAAAGGTCATAGAGGTAAAATGATTTTTACAGGACCATACAGGCACTAAATGGCTGTGCAATTGAAACCCAAATATTTTTACTCCAACCATTCATTTGACCAAATTGTATATCATTTCAACTCAGTTGGATATTACCTTCAGAGTTCAACAGAAACTATACTAAATCTACCTTCTTTCACTGGACAGATGTGTCAAGATCTGAAATGAAAACTGTAGATTAAATCCACTGTGTTGTTCTCTCAACCTTCCTCTATTTAGGAGGCTAACAATTCCATCATAGATAGGTTTTTAGGACTTAGCAAGGTGTGTAAATCTTCCTTAAACTAAATCTCCACATAGATCCATCCATTGTAGATCATCTGAATCAGTTTACAATGTAGCTTCTGTAGGCAGCTACGTGGTGTAGTGGATAGAGTACAGGACCTATAGTCAGGAACACTCATCTTCCTGAATTCAAATTTGACCTCAGACACTTACTAGCTGTGTGACCCTGGGTAAATCACTTAACCCTTTTTGCCTTAGTTTCCTCATCTATAAAATCAGCTGGAGCATGAAGTGGCAAACCATTCTCGTAACTTTGCAAAGAAAACCCCAAATGAGGTCATGAAGAGTCGTACACAACTGAAATGATTAGCCAACAACAACAATTGCAGAGGGGAGCTGTCACGCTGAGAGATGACTGACATTAGTCATTATTTAACTATGTGAAAGTTTCCCTATTCATGAGGAATAGATTCTATAAGTCCCTAAAGGTAGGTGGGTAATATAGCGCATAGGGTGTTGGGCGTGGAATCAAGAAGACCTGAGTTCAAACCTGGTTTCAGACACTAACTAGCTATGTGACCTTGGGCAAGTCATTTAACAGCTGTCTGCTTTAGTTTCCTCAACTATAAAATGAGGATAATAATAACACCTGCCTCCCAAGGTTATTGTGAACATTATATAAGATATTTGTAAAGCACTTAGCATAGGGCCTGGCACAGAGGCTCATAATAAATGCTTCCTTCCTTTCCTTCACAAAGGGAAATATGAAATACACAAGTATTGCATCCATTCCTGAAATAAAATGTTATAGATATTTATCCAATCCAAAGTTCTTCCTTTTTTTTTTTAATTCTTCTGATCACATTAGGAAAAAAACCTCAATTAGGTGTTGAACCATCTTTAACACCTCATAGCTTCTGATTATCTTCAAACAAGTTAGAATGTAAATACTTCTTTTATTAATGGAGGCTGTTCAAGGCCAGTGTTCGAAGGAAGTAGCAGCAAGAGCTGTGGCTAAAATACTGGTGTTGAGGAGGAATCTGTTTTTATAGATGAGAAAACTAGGCAAAAAGGCTTAAATGACTTGCCCAGGGCCACACAGCTGGTAAGTGTCTGAGGCTGGATTTGAACTCGGATCTTTCTAACTCCTGAAGAAGGAAATGGCAAACCACTCCAGTATCTTTGCCAAGAAAACCCCAAATGGGGTCACGAAAAATCAAGCTTGACTGAAAATGACTGAACAGCAACAGCCTTTGTTTATGTGTCAAATATTTACATTTATTGATACATTCTGTTAAACACCACAGACACTTCAAAAAAAAAAATCACCAAACCCTGCCTTACAGCTTTCGTTCCCTAAAAATAGGGATGTATGCCTTCCTTTGACAGTATGATACTTATGGGTTTAATTGATTGGTTCCCTTTATACATTGATTTTATTTACATTTTTTTCTGCTGTTGTGTATCTTTTGGTTCTCCTTTCTCCAAAATATGTTATTTTACTCAAGTCTACTCTTGTTTTTCAGAATTCATATTACTAATTCCTTATTGCATAGGGACATTCAATTACAGTGCTATACTATAATTTGTTTAAGCCTTTCCCAATCATTGGAACATATCTTGTTTCTAGCTTTTTGTTTCCATGAAAAAGTGCTGCCAAGAAGTTTTTGTCTATATGGATCTTTTCTTGCTGGTGATGACTCCCTTCAGTACTCAAGTAGTAGAATATTGAGGTTTAAAGTATATGAAAATTTTTGTAATTTTTCTTGCAAACTGTTTTCCAGGAACAATCAATCAGCAAGCATTTCTTTTCTTTAAATAATATTTTATTTTCCCAATTACATGTTAAAACAATTTTTAACATTTTTTTTTAAGTTTTGAGTTCCAAGTTCCCTCTCTCCCTCTCTTTTTCCCCTCCCCCCTCTCTGAGATGGTAAGCAGTCTGATATAGATTATATGTGTGCAATCATGTAAAACATTTCCGTATATTTTTTACAAGAAGACTTCAATTAAAAAAAAAGAATGAAAGAAAGTGAAAAACAACATTTCAGTCTGTATTCAGATAATATCAGTTCTTTCTGTGGAAGTGGATAACATGCTTTCTCGTGAGTCTTTTGGGATTGTCTTGGATCACTGTATTGCTGAGAATAGCTAAGTCATTCACGGTTCTTCATACAATATTGCTGTTACTGTGTACAACATTCTCCTGGTTCTCTTGACTTTGCATCAGTTCATGTAAGTCTTTCCAGCTTTTTCTGAAATCATCCTGTTTGTCATTTTTATAGCACAATAATATTCCATCAAAGTCATATTCCACAACTTGTTCAGCCATTCCCCAAATGATGGGCATCCCTTTGATTTCCAGTTCTTATCTACCACAAAAAGAGCTTCAGCAAACATTTCTTAAATGCTTGGGAATACAAAATTAAAAAAAAAAAAAAAAGCAAAACAGTCTCTGCCCTCAAGGAGCTTACATTCTAATGGGAGAAAATTAAACCTTTCTTAGCTCCATTAATAGAGAATTAGAAT